CATGACACGATATGTTTACGGTCTCAGAAGATTTGATCACCTGGGTAATTTCAGGAATGCAATCTTAGGTTGTGACATTGAACAGTTTATTAAGATTCGTGTCTGTCTGTTTTTGTTTAAATTGGTTAATGCTAAATCACCTGAATACCTTTTCAATTGTCTGAAACAAACACGATCTAATAAATCTCTTCTATTTATTATTCCAAGGTTTAACTTTATTTCCACAACAAGTTTTTTCTTTATCCACTCTGTCAGAGTATGGAATTCGCTCTCATGTGAAACCAGAAACACAACAAGAGTAGGAGCTTTTAAAAAACTGCTAGTTAATGAATTATATTGACACCACCCGTTTTGTCAATTATTTCTATTTTTAATTGATAATTTTCTTTAATTGTCATTTTTTAACTTTCTGCTTGTAATGTTTATTTTTCTATTCTAAATTTTTAAATTTTTAATCTTAAATTTAAAAATTTTTTTTTTTTGTATTCTTTAATTTAATTTAATTTTTAATTTAATATTTTTTTAATTCAATCTCTTGCCTTTGCTTTATCATCTAATAATTTGTAATTTGTTATATATTAAGTAAATAATATCTCTTTTTTATCTCTTTTTTGTTAGTTTTTAAGTTAGTTATAAGATGATGCAATGAAAGGGTTTTTTGACCCTTAAAGCAATTAAAATAAAAAAAAAAAAAACAAAAAAAAATAGTTTGTGGTTTTGTCAGCTGTCAAGTTTATTATGGGTTTTTGCAGGTTTTTATTTTGCTCATTAAGTAGCATAATTTTAAGTTCTTTGGTTAGTTGGTTTAAGTCCTTTTTTAGTTCAGGGGACCGATTTATTTGCCATTGTTTTCTCAGTTTTCTTCTGTCCATTATCTTACGTTTAACGGTCATCGAGATTTTATTTTGAGTGTTGTTTTGTTTAAGAGCTGGGATAGAATTTGTCATGGCAAAAGCGATAAATTAGTTTAAATATACAATCGCGCTTTCGATTTCGTCTTCAAATTTTAAAGAAACATTTATAGTCAGATCAGTATTAAGAATATCTCTAAACGTGTCCCAACATGTTTTGTAATTATAGATTAATTTTGTGCTTATGACGTTTAGTTTTGGGTGGCTTTCATATGACAGCATAATTGGAGAGTGATCAGATGATAAGTCAGGAAGTGTACTTATTGCAAGTAATCGTTTGTTTATATTTTTATTCAAGAAGAAGTCAATCACGTCTGGTATTTTGTTCATATCTGTAGGCCAGTACGTAGGTTCACCGGTGATTAAAATACATGCTTTTTTGCATTATGTAAATTTTTCCCTTTGCAGTTTGTAATTCTTAAGCCCCACATAGTATTTTTTGCATTAAAATCACCACCAGCAATGTACCGATTGCCAAGAGTATTAAAGTAGTTCAAGTATATATCCTTAACTCGCCTTTTGTATCTTGAATATGGACACTTGTAGCTTGTATTTGCTCTGTTTGGTATATATTAGCTAACGAGCATTGTATATTTCGCTTAATAATTACTGCTGTTTCACCATGGGCCTTGTTGTCGGGATGATTTGTATGATATATCGAATAGTTAGGGATTTTGATGCAACTTTTGCCTGTGAAGTGTGTTTCTGATACCAATAGTACATCAATGGAATTGATATTTAAGTATGTTTTCAGTTCTATCAGTTGTTTGCTGAGACCGTTTGCATTCCAAGCTAAAATGTTCAATTTATTTCTGTCCATCGAGTTTGGTAATTAGGATGGTTAAAATATGTATAACACTGGTAACTTGCATCATAAGCTGCTTTATCATTCATTGCTTATTGGAATGGGTTGAGTTGGATGCGATGTTAATATTTCGGCGTATGTTTTAGCTGGTTTAATTTATTGGGTTTGTTGGGTGGTAGTTATGAGGTTCATAACAGCTTTAGCTGGCAGAGATATTGCGTTATTTTGAGATGTGGTTTTTTGTTGTTTTGCGCGAAGAACTGGGAATCGTTTGATTTGAAGAGTTTTATAAACTGTACAACCTTTGTAGTTTGCAGTGTGATTCTCTTTACAGAGTGCACATTTAACGTCATTGTTCTTACCTTTCCTGGGACAGTCAATTGGTATATGCCCCTCGGAGCATTTAACACAGATTGGACGTCTTGTACAAAAATTTTTTGTGTGTCCATACTTTTGACAGTTATTACATTGTGGTATTGTTCTTTTTGGATGGAAAGGTTCAAAATTTATTTTACAGTGCAATAGGTATTTGATATTGTAATTTCTTTGTTATTTACATCTTGTTTAATTTCGATTGTAAATAGGTTTAATGGAGATTTTGTGCGCGGATGTAATACGTTTTGTATATTGCATACTTCATGTCCTAGTTCAGCTAGCTCTAATATAATTTCATTTTTGTTAGCGGAGTGGTGCATACCGCGTAGGAAGATCTTAAACCCCCTTTCTTCTTTTGACTTGTACGTTTAGTTCTGTACGCTTTTATCATTAAGAAATTTTACTTTGCTAGTGTAATCTGTTGATTCGTATGGCTGAACTTTTATTTCATTGTTTTGTAAAAGACGAATTTCATATTGAGTTGTTTGTAGTGCATCTAACGTTTTAATCAGGTTATCTAACGTTTTTGATCAAGTTTGGAATGATAGTAGAAAATCTTGGCATTAAAAACAACGAGGAGGTAATAAAATTATTACTCGGATGTATATGGTGTCTCCCAAAGAAATTGAGCTATTCCCTTTAAGATTACTTTTGTTGCATGTAAAAGGGCTAAAATAATATCAAGATGTACGTACATACAATTGAATTGTTTATAATACATTTACCAAAGCATGTAACGATAATGAGTGGAGAGTTTGTCTCAATGAAGCTAAGACATTTAATTCAGTAAAACAAATGCGTAATTTGTTTGAGATTGGTTGTCCCTTAAATATTCCAGCAAATACATTAGCGCTTTGGGTGGAATTTAGAGATAATTTAAGCGAAGATTTCGTTAGAGATGGTTGTAGTGTAGATGTTTCTTTCAATAGAGCATTATTGGAAATCGAGGATATTATGTTACATGTACGTCACTTGGTTTGCCTACACCTACAATGATGCTAGAATTTGCTGATCTCGATATTTTTGATCCTTTTAAGAAGAATGTTTATTTAATGAGCTTTATGATAGTGCAAATAATGAACAGCGTGATGCTATTGATAAAGTTATTCGTGAAGTTCAGTATCACGACACAGGATCAAATGTGTTTTGTTTGACAGCTAATGCATGTTGTGAGAAAATGCGCACACAAACGGGTATAAACGGCTGTTTTTAAACTGCTCATGAATTTGATGCAAAATACAGTACCAAATATAAAACAAATAGTAGGTATGCCAGATTTAATAATTCGGCGGCATTATTCATTATTGATAAAATTTCGATGTGTCCGTTACAAGGGATGGAATGTATTGATACGTTGTTGAAAGACTTATGCGACGATTCACAAAAAAAAACAAATAGTTTTGGCTGGAAAAATTATATTATTATATGGAGATTTTAGACAAATATTGCCCGTTATTCCTCATGCATCGCGATCAGTAATGATTGCAAATTATATTACGAGTTGGGCAGAATTTCCGTTTTTCATTCACATAACCTTAACTCAAAATATGAGAGCAATCCCCGAAGAGCTAGAATTCGATCAATTTCTAAAGAGAATTGGCAATGGTGAATCTAATTTCAGACCGTTTAGTGAAGATTTAGTTGAAATTCCAGAGAATTTTGATGGGTTTTGAATATAACATAGTACAAGACATTTTTGGTGGTATTAATGAAACCACTTTATAAGAAAGAATGGTGAAGTCAGTTGTGTTAGCTCTAACTAATGAAGATTGTGGACTTATCAATAACGATGTATTGAATCACATTGTTGGTGAAAAAAAGTTTATCACAGTTTTGACACAATTATTTGTGAGGATACCAGCGAGGTGGGCAACTATCCAGTAGAGTTTTTGCATACTTTGATTGTAATTGGTTTGCCACCACATAAGTTGCAGCTAAAAATTAATGCGATAGTTTTGTTAATTCGAAATTTAAATACGAAGCAAGCTTTAGTGAATGGGACAAGAAGCGAGTCAACACAATGCATAATAATACAATAGATTGTGAAGTGCTTACTGGACATGTTCGCGGAAATCCTATTTTGATTACACGCATACACTTGACGTATTCAGGAACTGCCATTTAATCTTCAAAGAACACAGTTTCCAGTCATCACCGCATTTGCTATGACAATTAATAAATCCCAAGGACAGACATTTGATAGAGTTGGAATGTTGTTGAATGTTAATTCTCCGTAACGTAAATCTTGGTATATAGATATTAACTATATAAAAGACTTCATTTGCTTAACGTTGTCAAACACTAGTAATCAGCTGTTTGGCAACAAAAGGAGAATGAAGTAAGCTTTAAGCTTGATTAGGGACATGAGAGCAGCTTCTGTGTTGGGTTTAAGCTAAAAGACTTCCTCTTTGGTTTTGAATCGTGAACCGGGTAACAACACATGTCTAAAATTAATAAAAATAAATAAATATTAAAATACATATAAAATAATTGGAGTATTCATTTTCAAATAGATCAATAAGGCAAACTACGAGTTTATGTGCTCGGCAGTTTACGACCAGTTAAACAAAATACTAAAATATATCATCCAACACGTTCATGTGCGTGTTGGAAGGGTGATATAACTATTGGCGGCTAAAATAAGAACAAATAAGTTCTTATCATATTTGTTTGATACAACAATTTGTAATTTAATAAGAACAAACGCGTTCTTATCATTTTTGATGATCCCGACGTGATTACTGCATTAACAGGATCATCACTTGGTGCTTAATCTACGGCAGCTAAGAACCTGGTACATGTGCACACAACGTGATTGTATTAAAACACGTGTTCAATTGTGTTCAGTCATACATACATCTGATACCAACTGTTAATTTCATAAAAGAACTAATTTTTCAAGTCAAAAAATGGAATCCATTGAAGGAGACAAAAAACAAGAAGGGACCAAGTCTGTGTCGAGCGAAGATGTGACAAAACCGTTACGGAATCAAAGGGCGCTGATTCGCGTAATTGAAAAAACGATGAAAGAAATAGAAGCAACATTTGAAGAACCACAACAAGAAGTGGTTAACATGGTAAGTCAAGCACAGCTGAAAAATTATCTCAGCAAGTTAGGTCAAAACAATGATATAATATGAAACTCCACCACTGCAGACACGGTAAAGGACTACAGTTGGAAGGTGTTTTTTGAAATAGAAAGGAAATTACACAATACATTGATGTTAATAAAATCGAAGCTAAAATTGTTAAATTCTAGTGATGGGATCTCAGAAAGTAAAGTAACATTGCAATCACAATCAGTAAAATTGCCACAAATCACGCTTCCAACATTTGATGGTAATCCATTAAAGTAAGTGGAATTCCGTGATTTGTTCACACAATTGATAAACGTGCAAGCATTTAAGCCAATCCAGAAGATGTTTTATTTGACTACAAATTTGGTTGGAGAGCCCAAAAATTTAATAAAACATTTACCAGCATCTGAAGCAAACTTCACAACAGTGTGGAAAATTTTGACCTCTCGTTACGATAACAAACGTCACTGCATTACTCAACAAGTTATTAAGTCAACAATCATTAACATCAGAAAGTTCTTCCGGATTAAAATCGCTGCACGATGTCACTAAAGAGTGTATCTTGGGTTTGCATGCACAAGGTATTCCTGTAGAGCAGTGGGATGCAATATTAGTACACCTCACTTTAAGGAAATTGGATAAGGTCAGTCATGCAGCATTTGAACAATCACTTAAGGATAATCGTTCGTTGGTGTCGCTACAAGAACTGCTTCAGTTTATTGAAAATCGATTCCAATCGTTAGACACGTTTGGTAGAGGATTCGATCAAAAACGTTGGAACACATCAAGATTAGTTGCAGTTACAAATGAACAATTTTCAACTGAAAAACTGTGTTTAGCATGTAAAAGGGATAGCCATCCGTTGTACACATGTAAGTCTTTTCTTCAGGATGCTCCTAGTAAACGGCTTCACCTAGATCAGCAGATGCGCTTGTGCATTAATTGTCTGAAGACGGGTCATTTTGCAAAAGAATGCAAGTCAAGTAGTTGCAAAAAATGTGACAAAAAACACAACTCACTCCTACATTTAGAAGATCCAAGCCGTAAGGCTACAAGGCCAGAAGTAAATAATTCAATAAGCCTAGTCTCTAATAGCAATAATCACACACGATGCTATGTTATGTTGGGAACAGCCCGTATAACTATAAAAGGCAATAGAGGAACAGAGATCGAATGCAGAACATTATTAGACTCTGGTTCGCAGGTCAACCTTATCACAGACAGGCTTATGAAGAAATTAGGAGAAAACCCCCAAAGGGCGGCAGCATGCATTGAAGGTATTGGACAGTGAAAACAAAATGCTCAACGACGAGTAAATCTAACATTTGGTTCTATAATTAACAACTATTCAGCAAGGGTAGAAGCATACGTTATACCGAAAATTGTATCTGATCAGCCGAGTGTGCACATCGACATATCGAATTGGAAAATACCCAGCAACAATAAATTAGCTGACCCAGGCTTCAATGCTAGTGATAAAATTGATATTGATAAAATTGAGTTTTTACATCAACTGCTATCTATAGGGCAAATAAGGATTGGGAATAATCTTCCATCATTACAAAACACATTACTAGGATGGATAGTGATAGGAAGGATAAGTGATCACGAATTACCTACACAGACACAGACTTGCGGCGTACTTTCAGACGATGATGAAATACTAGAACAGGTCATAGAGAAGTTTTGGAAGTTGGATGCAATGGAACCTACAACAAAGACATTAAGTCCACATGAAGAATTGTGCGAATCGCATTTTGTAAATAACACGCAACAAACCAATTTGGGTCGATTTGTAGTGAAACTGCCTTTTAAGCAAAATCCAGAAAGTCTTGGAGAATTTGATCAAATAGCGATAAACAGGTTTTATGCACTTGAAAGAAGATTTGTCACAAATGAGACTGTTTGGCAGCAATACGTGAACTTCATGAGAGAATATGAGAACATGGGTCACATGGAAAAGAGTGATATCGAGGGAAGTGCATCTCATTACATTATTCCACATCATTGCGTACTTCGACCAGAAAGCAGCACAACCAAACTCCGAGTAGTATTTGATGCTTCATGCAAAACTCATAACGGCTTGTCATTAAATGACATTTTATTGACAGGTCCAAAAATTCAATGTGAGATTTTTTCTATTCTACTTCGTTTCAGATGTCCAAGGTTCGTATTCTGCACAGACATTGAAAAGATGTACCGGCAAATCCTTGTACATCCGAATGATGGGAATTACCAAATTATTGTTTGGAGAGAATCGTCACGTCGTCATGGCACCATATTTAGCCGTGAAATGTCTACAACAATTGATTATTAAGGAATCATCTAAATATCCGCTCGGAGCTTCGGCGATTCAAAATGATTTCTATATTGACGATTGTCTCAGCGGATCAGACAATCTCAATACTGCATTGGAGATACAACGTCAACTTAAGGATTTGTTGGAGTCGGCCGGTTTTACATTACGTAAGTGGTGCGCCAAAGATCCTTCGTTGCTTAAGAATACAGCAAAACAAGATCAAGAAGTCGATTTAGACTTTGACAGTGAAGATCAACCATTCATCAAAACTTTAGGGTTAGTGTGGCAACCGAAAATAGACAAATTCAGTATTAAGGTGGATCTACATTCAGCGAAGCGGGTAACTAAACGATGAATTACTTCAAATGTAGCTAAAATATTTGATCCCCTTGGCATCCTGGGTCCAGTTTTAGTAACCGCCAAGGTACTGATTCAGGACTTATAGCAACTCAACCTAACGTGGGATGAAGCGGTACCAAGTGAAGTATACAGTAGGTGGATCAGTTTTTGCGACGAATTAAGATCACTTCATCGGTTTCAAATTGAAAGCCATATATTTGGACGGCTGATGGCGACATCGTTACAACTTCATGCATTCTGTGATGCTTCCGAAAAGGCTTTTGGTGCTGTGATATATGTTCGAGCAAAATTGAATTGTACGCGGCTTTCTTGAAGCAACAGTAATGAAAGGAGTAAAAAATGAATTGAACTACAAAGTGCCAACATATTATTGGACCTATTCGAAAATTGTACTGTATTGGATAAATTCGGTGCCAGCAAAGCATCAACAATTTATATCAAACAGATTTGCTGCAATTCAAGACATTTTAGTACCAAGCCCATGGCGACATGTGAGTTTACGACACAACCTTGCAGATGCATTATCACGTGGCATTAAACCTTCCCAATTACAAACTAATCACTTATGGTTTTATGGCCCAATGTTTCTACATGGGTCCGAGGAACTGTGGCCAGAAGAATTCAAAAAAATGTAATGCAGTCTTCCAGATAACGCAGAATTGAAGGGTACTTCACGTCAGGTAGCATTAGCTGCAACTAGCTGTAGTGCCGACTGGGTGTATACAATAAACCACAGAAATTCCTTCGACACCTTGTTTCATATTGTAGGCTATGTGCTGCGATCATAAAACGGACCAGACAACTTTAAAAGGGCGAGATTCATTCCATAGAACTCGATCCAAAAGAGCTACGGGATTCAGAGACTCACATAGTTAGGTGCATTCAGGAAGCTGAATTCAAAGAAGACAAAAAGGAATTAAGGCATCGCAACCAGGTAAAGGCATCAAGCGCAATAGCTGCATTTACTCCATTTTTAGATGAAGACAACATCATTTGGGTTGGAGGCAGGTTAGATGCATCAAAATTGCCATATAATGCTAAGCATCAAATTCTTCTTCCATTCAACGACCAAATTGTGAAACTAATAATGAAAAATATTCATGAAACAAACATGCATTGTGGTGCACAAGCATTGTTCGCAACAACTCGACAGAGATTCTGGCCGGTCAAGGGAAAAATAATGGCGCGGTAAATTGTTCAACATTGTGTTCGCTGTACTAGGTGTAAGCCTACAAGATTTAACCAAATTATGGGGAATCTTCCAAGTACTCGAGTACAATCTGCCAGACCATTTCTTAATACAGGCGTGGATTTTTGTGGACCATTTCTAGTACATTACAAGGTAAGAGGAAAACGACCGCACAAGGCATATATTGCTGTTTTCTGTTGTTTCGCCACCAAAGCAGTACATTTGGAGCTGGTAAGTGACCTAACTACCGACGCATTTATTGGATCAGTTAAACGTTTTGTTGCGAGGCGTGGACATTGCCAAAATATATTTTGTGAGAATGCAACTAATTTTGTTGGAGCCAATAATAAACTGAATGAGCTAGAACAACTCACTTACTCAAAAAAAGCAGGAGAAGTAATTGAAAGAGCGTGTAGTAAAAAAGGTATTAAATTCAACTTCATTCCTCCTCGTACGCCTCACTTCAGAGGACTCTGGGAAGCAGCAGTGAAATCGGCGAAACATCTGCTTGTGCGCAGCGTTGCCACAGAATCCTTAACGTACAAAGAGCTAGAAACAGTTGTTATTGAAATAGAGTCGAAAATTCAAGACCGATTACTCCAATGTCGAATGATCCAAATGACTTTGAAGCACTTACGCCAGGCCACTTTCTAATTGGTGAAGCCCTTACAGCACCAGCAAGCACAAGCACACCAAGGTTAAAAATATCATTATTAACAAGATGGAAATTGGTCTCCCACATAAAACATGAATTCTGGAGACGGTGGAACTCTGAATATCTAACGGAGCTACAATACCGACATAAATGGCGAGAACAATGCAATAACTTGCAGGAAAACACCTTAGTTATCATGAAGGATGGAAGTTTACCTCCTCTTCAGTGGTCATTGGGTCGAGTAACCAACATATATAAAGGTAGTGACGGAATGGTACGTGTGGTCGATATTAAAACAGCATCAGGTACTTTGAGACGTGCCGTATATAATTTGGCTCCACTTTTTTATGAAACCAACGATAGTGAAGATGACAAGATCCCACCAGTACAACCCAAAGAAGCAACAAAGCAACAATTGACAGCATCAAAAAGGCCTATACAGGTACCAATTTCATCAGTTAGCAGTATGAATCATGTCGGACGCAATTCGAAGGTATCCAAACGATCGAGCAACTGCTGATCTCACACCAAAATTCTAGGGAAGACAAAACATGATGTAAAATTGTTAAATAATATAAACACACAGGTAATATTTGATATGGCTTAAATTCACTTAAAAATCTTTGTAAATTTTATAAATACTTTCAAAATTTTTAAATTACTAACCAGTAAATTAATTTTAACTAATTGAAATTATTAAAATTCATTATTTTACTTTGTTCATTAACTTAACAAAAAATGTTAACAATGCTTTTTACTATTTTGACAGTTGAAAACCATGTGCCATTTAATATGTAAACAAGCAAAAAAAAACAACACAGAAGCAAGCTTCTCATGACCTAGATCAACTTGTTTAGTTAAATATAAGGTGCAGTTATGCCATATCAATTGCAGGCATGCATTTTATAGTACTTTTAGTTAAATTATTTAAATTATTCAAATAATTCAACGCGGGGAGGATGTTAATTCTCCGTAACGTAAATCTTGGTATATAGATATTAACTATATAAAAAACTTCATTTGCTTAACGTTGTCAAACACTAGTAATCAGCTGTTTGGCAACAAAAGGAGAATGAAGTAAGCTTTAAGCTTGATTAGGGACATGAGAGCAGCTTCTGTGTTGGGTTTAAGCTAAAAGACTTCCTCTTTGGTTTTGAATCGTGAACCGGGTAACAACACATGTCTAAAATTAATAAAAATAAATAAATATTAAAATACATATAAAATAATTGGAGTATTCATTTTTAAATAGATCAATAAGGCAAACTACGAGTTTATGTGCTCGGCAGTTTACGACCAGTTAAACAAAATACTAAAATATATCATCCAACACGTTTATGTTAGTGCTGTTCACATTGTTCGAAGTTTTTAAAAATTCGAATTTCTTCGATTATTCGAATATTCGCATTTCAACGAAGTCTTCGAAGTTGTAAAAAACTAAAATAAAATAAATTTTATGTAATAAAATAAAACAAAAAAACATGTTTTTAATTTTCTGCATAGAATACCAAAAAAAAAAACAAACATAAAACCGTACAAACGAAGCAAATGCTTTCATCCCTCAAATAATTTGTGTGATGCACGTTTGTTTGCATTTTGCGCTCTCACTTCACCTTTTGCTTACGAACTCTTCGAAGTCTTCGAAGTTTTTCACTACACTTAAACTTCGAAGACTTCGAGAACAAAAATTCACAAAAACTTCGAAGTTTTTTCCAACTTCGAAGACTTCGTTTACTATTCGAATATTCGAATATTCGAATTCTTCGAATACTTCGTAAATTCGAATATGAACAGCACTAGTTCATGTGCGTGTTGGAAGCGTGATATAACTATTGGTGGCTCAAATAAGAACAAACAAGTTCTTATCATATTTGGCCGATACAACAATTTGTAATTTAATAAGAACAAACGCGTTCTTATCAGTTGAGATTTGACGGGCCTTAATTTTATGTCAGTAATGATGATGAACAAGGTCATTTGGCATATGATGAGACGGTGTTTACGAAATACACTGAAGTTTTGAGAACTTTGTAATATAAGATTTCAAAATGGAGCATCAGTTCGAGACTTAATCAGTATTTCATTCAAACAATTCATTAATATTTTATACTAATTATTTTGGCGTCCTTTTGCAGTTGCATACGTGGTCACATATGAAGACAAATTCAAATTGGCCGATTTGATTCGATTGCTCATTCAAAGAAAAATTAAGCCAAAACTAAAAACAGAACAAATGATTTTGCACAAAAATGATTTTTTATCATTTATTTAATTTTTTTTGTTTATTTAACATTTTATATAAATTTTTCAATAAAATTTATGTACTATTAATATTGTTTATAAAGTGTATTTTCTATTGGTCGACGAGTTTAAGTGCTCGTCAGTTTTCACAGCCGCTGTGACCAACTCCCTTCAAAAGGGAATTATTTATTGAAGACAACACAGTGGTGCTCGCTCTAACAACGCAACAACGTGCTGATGACCAGCCATGGGTCTACTCAATACATTCAAAAAATTTGTTTACACATGTCCAAAGGATTGTTGGTTATGTACTTCGTTTTACCAAAAACGCACGAACATCAAAAAACTCGAGACCATTCAGCTTTCACCGATTGAGCTTGACATCGCACTTAAGTTAATTATACGTCAAATCCAGGCTTTCGAATTTCCTGATCTAAAGAAAATACTAATTAACGAAAATATTGTGCAAGAAACACACTATCTTAGTTCTCTAGCGCCGTTCTTCGATGAAGAAGGGGTAATACGAGTTGGTGGATGGCTAAGCTCCTCAACACAGCAGTTTGATGCCATTCATCAAATGATTTTATCAAGTAACGTCTACTAGTAGAAAATGTATACAAGGACAACTATTATTGTGGTGCCCAAGCATTGCTGGCACAAGTGAGACAGCATTTTTGGCCTCTCAAAGGAAAAAGCTTGATGAGAACAGTAATACAACAATGCAGAAGATACAGAAGAGCAAGGCCAATTGTTTACAATCAAATCATGGGAAATTTGCCTAGACACCGTGTGCAAACAGCTGGGCAATTTTTAAACACTGGAGTCGATTATTGTGTCCCATTATGGGTTCACTACCAAACAAGAGGTAAGCGCCCACAAAAAGTGTATATCGCTGTATTCTGCTGTTTTGCAACCAAGGCCGTACACTTAGAACTTGTCAATGATTTGTCTACAAAAACGTTCATTGGAGCACTAAAACGCTTTATTGCAAGGCAAGGATGATGCAAAACCTTGTACTGCGACAATGCGATCAACTTTCTTGGTGCGAAAAACCAGTTACAGGAACTCAATGAAATTATCTATGCTGAACGAGCAAGGGAATCGATTATAGAAATGTGCAGAACAAAAGGCATAGAATTTTATTTTATTCCACCAAATTCACCATACTTCGGCGGATGGGAGGCAGCAGTAAAATCTGTCAAACATTTGGTCGACAAAAATATTTCAACAGCAACACTGACATTCTAAGAACTTGAAACTGTCGTGATTGAAATGGTTGAACTCGCCTCCCCTTATTCCTAGTTCATTTCATGCGAACGATTTTAACGCAATTGTAGTATGCATACATTTACATATATAAAGCAACTTCAATAAATATACTTTGTTGCTAAATAGTCTAAAAAGACTATATAATTTACTTAGTATTGCACAGCTACATGAATTATGCCTGGCCAGCACATTCCTGTTGCTTAAGCACACATGAAGCAGCAATGCCTTTATGTTATTTAAAACCACGCTATGTCCGATAAGATTTTATGTATAAGTGTTAACGTAAGCTACAAGTTAAGTTTAGCTTTAAGCTTATGAAGCAGAGCATAAGTACACAGTCTAATTCAGACATGCATACCAAACGGATGCAATTTTTTTTTTTTTTTTTTTTTGTATATATAAATTTATTTTATTTGATTAAATAAATTTTATAAGAGTAACTAGCTAACAATATAATAAGCTAACAAACAATTTTAATCAACAATTATAAAGAATTTAATTAGAAATCACGCAAGTTCATTTATCACGCATTTCGGACAGGTTGCGACCAAAGATCACAAGGTTTTAGACGCTTAAGGCGACGTGTTGGCTCTATTGACGCCAGTTCGTTAGCTTCATCATTCGGATGAGAGTACAGTCGCTGCAGGTGCATTCTTGCATTTCGCTGTATTTCTTCCACCACCGTATTTATCCCTAGATCACGATGCAGATCAGAGTTCCTTACGTACCATGGTGCATTTGCCACACCCCTTAATATAACATTTTGGGATTTTTGTATGGTTTCAACATGTGTGCTGCTAGCGCATCCCCAGAGCTGAATACCATATGTCCAAATTGGTTTCAATATTTGTTTGTAAATTAAAAGCTTGTTATGAAGTGACAGTTTCGACTTCTTTCCAATAAGCCATTTGATTGATCTGTATTTTATATTCAGTTCATCTCTCTTTTTTTTTACATGTTCATTCCATCTCAGCTTTGCATACCGAGGTACTTAGCCGTATTAGAATGTGGAATTTGTATTCCATCAATGTAGAGGGGCATAAATCTGATATTTCGGTTTTAAAGTTGACGTGAACTGATTTATAGTGGTTAAGTTTTATTTTCCACTTTTCAGCCCAAGCGATAATGTCATTGACAGAAGACTGCAGACGCCTGGCTGCTGTTAGTTCATCATCTCCAATCGCTAGAACAGCTGTATCGTCAGCGAACGTCGCTGTAAACGTCGCTGAGCTCGTTGGTAAATCATGTGTGTATATTAAATATAACAAAGGACCAAGTACACTGCCTTGGGGTACCCCAGCGTTGATTTTTTGGAGTTCACTGTAATCGTTTCCATGCTTAACACGGAAGTAACGATTGGTCAAATAAGAAGAAACCATATCGAAATACTCCCACGGAAAAATGTCTCTTATTTTTGTTAGTAGACCTGTATGCCAAACTTTGTCGAAAGCCTGGGATACGTCTAAGAATACTGCTGAACATACTTTCTTTTCCTCAAGGGCAGTTTCGATTACGTTTGTGATTCTGTGGACTTGATCAATGGTCTAGTGATTACACCTGAATCCAAATTGATGCATAGGTATGGTCTGCTGTTGTTCAAGTAAAGGCAACATCCGTTTAAGCATAATTTTTTCAAATACTTTTGAAAGCACAGGTAGGAGAGCTATTGGCCTATAGGAGCTAACCTCGTTTGCATCTTTCCCCGGTTTAAGGACCATAATAATTTCTGTGACCTTCCACAACGAAGGGAGATATTTCAATCGTAGAACAGCATTGAAGATGTTAGTAACTTTAACTATGCAGTTCGCTGGGATTTCTCTAAGAATTTCTGCAGTTATGAGATCATATCCTGGTGTTTTTTTTAGCTTAAGTTCGTTCTTTATTATCATCATTACTTCAAGCTCGCTAGTTGGCAGCAAATTGTTTATTCTATTAGTACCCAGATAACAAGTTTCAACACTATTCTCACTACCAGAAATAGAGAATACTTTTGTTAAATGTTCAGAAAAA